GAGGTGATGCAATCACTTCGCGGCGACGCAGGTTATAGCTTTCGATCTTTGGATGATATTTATTATTACGGTGGCCAACAAGAGCACTTGCTGGTCGCCGTGTATCCGCATTCGCCCAAAGCACCTTTTGAAATCGAGCTTCGTGAAGGCGACCTTATCAGCATAGCCGGCAACCACTGGGACGGCTTTAGTCTGGGAACGAACAAAAGGACAGGGCATACGGGTGTGTTTCCGTCTTTCAAAGCAAGAGAGAGGTGGAAAGAGTGAAGCTATTGATTGGACGTTCCATGCCTATGGCGTCGAGTGAATCGTGCGGCTTCTGCTTTGGGGTCGGTCGCTGGCCTGAATTCAGACTTCAATACTGTTCATTAGTTTCCGCTAATTATTGTTATGTTCTGTTTATTGTTGATCGTTGCTTGACACCGGTTTACGTTTATTTTATGATGTGAAAGGTTTGAAGTTCTGATCAGGGTTTCCTACGACTGATTGTTTTCGTAGCACAAGTTTCTAGTCAAGTGTTATTTTTTTTCAAAATATTGTTGTCATTTTCGATCGATCATCTCGATTCGTTGCTTGTCATTTTCGATGCCTATGACTTGTTTCGAGCGATCTTTTGCTAAAAACTTTACCGTAAAGCTCATCATGAAAATTATTATTTAAATGTTTCGCTATACTTTAAATTAATTTAAAGTTTTTTTGTTGCGGTGTCATATCTTAGGTGCAAATGTGCTTTTTCGCACACGTGTTATGTGAAATAATCCATCTTTGCATTCGCTGTCTTAGGTCGTAAAACGATGAATCCTGTTGAAACTGTGAATTATCAGTGCCTATTTCATTAGGGTTGATCTGTGGGGTTAATTTTTATGGTTGATCCAGCTGATATCGTATCAGTACCTATTTTTTAAAGTATCCTAAACTTTGATCAGTACTTTAGAAGAAATATGATCATCGTCTGCACGAGCAATCTGATATATGGTATATTTGATTAAAATTTCGAATACAGTCATAGTTATATCAAGACCTGCGGAACTGAAAAAAAAACAAGATTTGAAATAAACAATAAAAACAAATTCTTAAATTCTATGTAGCTATTGGCTGCCTAAATGGCCCTTCTAGGCGATTAGAAGCAAGGGGCGGTTCGATATTGCGGCAGAAGCGGGTGTAATACTTCAATCTGTATTACACTTCCTCAGTGAGGGTGTAAAGTAAGAAAAATGTTTTTTCTTTAAAGTGTCCGTTTTCGCCGTTTGAATCAGGTATTATTTCTAATGCCAAATATTGACTGGTAGTTTCGAACCCCCCCTCCTGGAAGCTATCCCATAACATCGGGATATATCTGTCACTTAGCATATATCTGTCTACAGTAAGAATATGTATCGGTTTGAATACGCCGTTGTTCAACCCATATCAGATACACGACACGTTCTTGCGCCTAAATACCATAGCCGTGTTTTGCCTAGATGTTCTCCTATGCGACTAGAAGCAAGGTCCGTTTCGATATTGGGGTACAAGCCGGTGTAAGGCTTTCGTCTGTTCTAAGCCATCTCAGTGTCAGTGTAAAGAAAGAAATAAAATTTTCTTTACACTACGTTTTTGCCGTTTCAGTGCGGAATCATTGTTTGTAATACGGAATAAATTCTTTCTTATGGCATTGGGCGAATGCCAATTCGCTTTCTGCTTTAGCTATGATGGTTTCCAATAGTGGGCGCAAAGTAAACTTTCTCATTTTCTACTGGTTGCCTAAAGCAAGAAGCTCACCGTAATGTGTTTAGCTTCAACCAGCAGACAAACGTAAAGCCTGAATCGTTGACCTGCAAGGACAATATGAAAGAAAATCGAACAATAAGCCTGTTGTGCGGTAGCACAGCGGTGAAGAGGCTCAGTTCGAAGTCTGGAGATGCTGGGTTCGAGTTCTGCAAAAGGACAAAATTAACCGACAATTGCCCTGGGCGAGTAATTTACTGGGCCTGTCCTTTCGACGCTGCTTTGCTGCAGCCTGCCGAAAAACGAGAAGCAATTCGTTCACTTGGGAACAACAGGGGTAGAATTATACTTTGGTCTCGTCATATCAGAGCAAATGAGGTGTGGCAGCATGGGTCCTTCTTGACGCTGCACCTCGCCTTACCTGATAGATGACTGCATTATTATGCAATCGTGTACATGACACGAATTTAGCTAACGCTGCACATCAGGTTCAGGACAGCAAGAACGGTTAAAATGCTGTGAAGAGGCGCTGCTCTAAGCGCATGTTGTGAGACTTATAAAGCCCATATGGCTTTAACAGAAATGACTTCATTTACTAAGGACTTGATTCAAGATGATGTACCACCGAGCGATCGAAAGAGATTTTCGACATCGAACTCTGCGGTCCTGCCGATCACCTCCATGCAATGAACGGCGGTATGGTTTAAATATGTACTGCAGCGTCAGACAGTAGCCCAAACATTGCCCATTGTGTGTCAGTGTCTGAGATTCCACAGTAAAAAAAACATGAGCCAGAAGCAAAGCCACTGCGACGCTTACCCAAGGTCACTCTTGACTATTCATGTAGTCTTGGGCCGGTCAGCCAAGCAATGAGTAGCTGTTTCGCCTTCATTTATGGAAGTATTCACAAAATGTCGCCAGACCACCGCACCTGCGATTTTTTAATCTGGAAAGGATGTACCATTAATCGGACCCAGGTACAGTATCCGGACTCCGTTATGACTCACCATCCAAAGCAATTCTGCCGAATAAGCCTTGAAATATGACTGAATTTCACTCTTATGGCGTCGCTTTCCTCAACAGTCCTGCGATTCGATGGTGAACGCGACGCGCTGCGCGTAACCTATGTAAACCTATCTAAAAGTGATCGAGGAA